TGCAAGATCCTCATATGTGTCTTCTACTATCAAGGATTCCATGTGCAGGCCCAAATCTCTGTTTGCTATGGTCAACAAACTCACTAACCCTCCACAACATGTTATTTCTGGCTCTGAGGTGCTTGTGAATAACTTTTCTCATTACTTTTCAGACAAATTGAAGTCTATCACTGAATCCATTTCCAAAGACACCCCTCATACAACTGACTCAAATGTTCACTTGATGTCAGCTGACTCGGCTCACACAACATACTCTCTTTCTGCTTTTACTTTCACTACTTCTGCTGCCATAAGTGATCTAATTGGGAAGTCAAATTCTACATCCTGCCAGATTGATCCTTCACCTACTGTTTTGATTAAGATGTGTGTTCCTGAGGTTGAACCTTTCATAACACATATGATTAACTGTAGTATAGCATCTGCCATTGTTCCAGCAGAATTAAAAATGGAATATACCATCTTTGTCTACATTCAAGACTCAGCTAAAAACGTATCTTTTTAATATGTATTTTGGATAATGTGGCTATATGTGGGCTTATGTGTTTGTATTGTGTATATGGGTGTACAAATGTTTTGTTTAGCACTATGTAAAGTGACCTTGAGGTATGGAAAGGCACTATATAAATAAAACTTCTTATTCTTCTTCTTCATCAAAGCAAACAGCTCTTACAAGCAACAGTGTTAAACAATACACAGGAAGGCTACCGGGAACATTAGCAGTTATAGAAATGCTCTGTTGCATATATTTTTGTATGGGGTTTTTAACACTGTTAACACACCATTAAGCTAATGTGTTTACCTTGCTTAAGCTCTAGACCAAACAAATCTATTATGTGTCCTATTGACAAAAAGGTCAAATTTGCCAGGACAAGTCACCGTGTTCCTTAGACACTGGGAAAAAAAAGGGTAATAAATTAAATGTAATATTTGCCATAAATGGAAAAGCAATTCTCTGACATTTTCTGTGCAATTAAGTGTAAAATAGTTTTTTCAAAGTTCACTTTTGTTTAGCTTCTCTGGTAATTACTCAAGCATTTTCCTATTTAAAATATATTAAATCATGTTATTTATTTTATGGCCGTTATATCATGGTTTCCCCCCCTCATATAATCATCCTTAAAAAAAATAATAAAAAACAGGGAATTCTTCACCTGCAAATAGTGTAAGAAGCTGCTGGGGGAACAGTTCACCAAATAAAGAAAATCTTCATTATTTACGCTTCCTCACTTAGTATCACACCTATATGTTATTTACAACATACATGTGTTGGAACCCTATAGGATATTTATTTTATTTTTTTAAATTTTTTGTATTTTTTAAGGCAAGTTTTTTTTTTTTTTTTTAAGTTTGCAGGTATAAAGTAATCCATATGACTTGTTCTCCATATTCCTTGTTTTCATGCTATAGTTTGGTGTGGAACAGACAAGAAATAGAAGGCATTAAATACTGACAATTAGAAATGATTGACACCAAAATAATGAGATTTAGGAATTGTGGAGGGAAATATTTAATTTTGTCAGTGAGCAATGACACTGAATTTTAGCTTATCGGTTTGGAATGAAATTTGTAAATAATGACCGGTTTTCGTTTTGTGAAGTATTTTGTGAACTATTCATTTAACTCTTTAGAGGTTTGGGTTTAATCATGTACTTTGACATGGTCCTTTGGGCTGTCTGCTCATTGTTGGTGACCACTGTTTCTGTAAAGTTTATAATTTATGTTGAGGGGAAAACAATCCTTTGCCAATCTAAGAACTTTTAAAGGAACGTATGAAATGATGAATTTGAGTTTGACATCTACACAGCCTCAAACAAAAAGTGTCCCACCAGTGGGTCCCCGGTGGAAATGTTGTCAAACATGACAACGTGACTAGAAGCACAAGTGTGAAATTGGGTTTACACAAAGTTAATTGGGTTTGTGTCATTGTGCTGGGCTATCCAGACAGTGAGAATTGCTCAATTGTGAGGTTACAGTTTAGAGTGAAGAGTGGCTAGGGAAAAACTCTATTTCAAGGTATTAAACGGCATGCTTTTGAAAAACAAGTTACGGGGTTAAAAAAGGAAGAAACAAAGGGAATAGATAAACACAAAATAAAAAGTCTACTTAATCATGCTGAAATAAATTAAAGTGTTCTCTCATTATATTTAAGGAAATCCACTCTGTACTCAAACAATTATACATACAATTTAAATCTGGAAATATTCATAAACATAAAACAAACAAAAGTTATGGCATATAATCAAAAATAAATATTCTATTTCTATGTCCAAAATTTCTTGGTTACATTGATCATGTGAATAATTGTACTTTTTGACTCAAATTATTATACTGATAATGTAATTTGTGACAAAATAAATTGGAATTAAATTAGAAAACAATTTAACAGAAAATGTTTCATTTGTATCAATAAATAAATAAATTTAAAAAATAATGTAAAATAAAAACATTTTCACTATATAATTTGCAACAAAAATGTATTAAATATGAAATTAATGCAAAATAGAAACATTTTCATTAGCTGATAAAATACTTTAATACTATTTATTAAATTAGAACAGGATGTAAAATAGAAGCATTTTCACCACACTGTCAAGAGCTCAGTTCTTGAGCTGATAAATTGATAATTGTGTAACATGTTTACCTGCGAATAAGAAATGGCTGTTTCTGTAGCAAATTTTATCGGTTTATCTGTGTATATGTAAATACATGCCTCAGATTTGACTTGCTTTGATGCTATTCTCCTGCAGGGTGAGCGGCAGGTAGAATATTTCATGCAAGCTTTTGAAACATGTCTGCACAGCACATATGCTGCTCCATTTGCCTTTGATTTGCATGCCGTTTTGAAACTGGTACACTTTAACAACCGAAATTCACCAAAGCATACATTTTCACTGTAAAAAGGAATAAATAACACACTGATATTTCTTGGAAAAGAAGAAAAGGGTGACCGATTACAGTCTTGTTTCATCACTCTTACAGTCAGTGGAAATGACCTTAAGAAAGCGAAAACCAGAAGGTGTTTCCAAACATTGCATACCTTCATATACAGCCTTGAAACCTTGTGATCCGATCGTGTCATCAGATTGCAGATGGAGCCACATCTGGTTGCTCATACTCACAATCAAATCGGGCACGCTGGATCCCGTGAGACTAGAATAGACGCACAAAATCGAATTGTATTCTTTGATTTGTGTATTCATATAGAGCCATGAAACCTTATACATAAGCCCAGGGCCTTTTTCATGTGGTGGTTGCTCTTGTAAGAAAATAAGTCATGGAGGCATTTGTGAATAGAAGCACATGCCTGTTCAAAGTTTAACATAAGAATCTTTTTTGCTCTATACTCACACATAAAGTACTCTTCGAGCATCACCTATCTTCCCTCCATCACCCACTGTTAACGTATCGTACGCTCGCTCTAGATCAAACTCTTCAAAAGCCAGCTTGATGACCTACAGGAATAAAAGAGAGGTCATGACAAACACCACGGGTTAAAAAGCCCAGAGCAGAATGGCCCTATCCACATGAGGCTGACTCACATGAGGCTGACCTTACACATGTAAGGCTGATTGCAGAAGAAGAGATGAAGGTGCAAATAAATAATTTTGTTTAATTCAAGATATGATATGAGTCTTTGAGAAGTTCTGCCATGGATGGTGCAAAGGAAACGGTTGCATGTTCATTTGATGTGAGCACAGAAATGAAGGCAGCAGAAAGAAAATTGGATTCAAGGAGAGATTGCTGGAAGGAGAAGGGGGTGGGGAATCAAGAAAAATAAAAAAAGCTTAATTAGGACAACCCTATTATCAACATCCTCCTATTTTTTCAAATGGTCTAATTAAGAGGCATTATTCTCATCTATATTCTGTCCCATCTTTAAATGTGATTGGTGTATTTTTTTTTTCCAATGTTACCTTCTCCAATTCCATACTGAAGAGATAATTCACTCAAAATTGACAATTGTGCCTTCATTTACTCCCCCTCATGTTGTTCCAAACCCGTATGTCTTTCTTTCTTCAGTGGAACACAAAAAGAGATGTTATGCAGAATGACAGCCTCAGTCACCATTCACTTTCAATGCACTTTTTTTTTTGAATACAATGAAAGTGAGAGGGGATTGAAACTGCCATTCTAAATGTCCTTTTGTGTTCCACAGAAGAAAGACGGTGTGGAATATTTTGAATATGAGAGTGAGTAAAAATTCATTTAACATGCAGAGACACTGTAAGTAATTTGTATTTTGTTAATTCCCCCAAAAAGGTGCAAACATTATGGCTTTCCCATACAACGACCTAACTCGCTGCTTAACCACCATAGTATGATGAATCGATAGCACCTTGCACCTCCATCATTTGAACTACATTGCATGTTGTCACGTTGCAAACTGATATTTCGATAGTTTGCCAAAGCTTGAAAAACCTTTTGAAAACCATTGAAAACATATGCATACAAAAGGCTTAGTAATAACGCAAAGTATACAACTCCAATCCATCGTTCTTCATAATTTAATTAATTAATGTAACACAAAATGCATTGGCGCCAATCAGACAGGCCTGAGGTGTGTTTCCCAAAAGCATTGTTAGCCAAATATGGGCGCAAGTTCCATTGAACTCTGTTGAACTTGCAACTTGGAAATGGTTCTTTCTGTTGATAATTGTACACCTGCAAAATGCTAGAAATGTACAGCATTGTTTACCCTATGCAATTTGGTTGCTAGGACACTACTCAAACACCTGCAAAGCTAACAATAGCATTGGCATTCTGTTGCCTTATACATCACCTTCTCTCATTGCAATGGTTAATGAAGTGAAGTATGAATATATCCCCACAAGTGATTTCTAATGTGTAGCAAACATAAGGATAATTACTACTGAGAAAATCATTGGTCAATTATGTTGATCAAACTTCTGGAATGTGTTCACCAATTTATATAAATACTTAAAATTAAGTGAACATAGAGCTTTTGGCCATGACCTTTAAAATTGTGCTGTTTTATTCTACAATTAAAAGGATAATTCCAGTGTTGGATTCTAATCAGTCCATATCATTTCAACTGTTTCAACCGTATTCCAAAGGTTGCAGGCAGCACAGCATGCTGTACCTTACAACTTAACTACTATAGTCTGGGATTTATCTCACAAATAATACATTTCTGTAACAAAGATTTCAGTACATTGAGACATGTACAAAGAAGTCATATTAACGTTTTATAATTGCTAGAGGGTCTACGGTCACCATTTTGTTTATTAATGGTGATAGAAAGAAAGGAACGATTCAGCAATACTGAGAAGATCTTGACAAGCAATCTGTTCTGTATAAAATGTCAATGCTGATACAGAGTCGTTTGGCGAGACCTTAAACTAGAAGTCTAAAATACAGGCTTTTAAATTATGCTGTCAAAGGTAAAGATTCTTCCTCTTTTTTTTATTTTTAAAGAAGACCTAGGGAGAGGATAAAAACAGCACTCATGGTCTACATAAACACAATCAGAGAGTGACAGGACATCTTAGCGATTGTTCCCTGAACTGGCTTGAAAGAATTATCGATTTCTTTATTTTATACAAAAATGAAAAAGGGCTGACAGCTGCCTCAATGACTCTCCCTGAGTTTGAGAGAAGACGGCTCTCGATGCTCTTCAGAAATTGCTAAATGGTGTGGTTTTATTGTGCATTTTTATTCATCCAGGAGAAAAAAAAATGTGAGAAAGTATGAGTGTTTACAAATCATATTCAGTGTTAGTTACAACCAGTGTTCCCTCAGAGCTGTGAGCTGTGTGGCAATGCACGTCTGACCTCTCACCTGGGTTCGATTCCCAGTCAGGGAATGCTCTTTGGCAGTCGTGGCCTAATGAGTCGGACTTGAGAGTCGGACTTGTAATCCAAAGGTTGCAGGTTCGAGTCTCAGGTCCGGCAGGAATTGTCAGTGGGGGGAGTGAATAACCAGCGCTCTCTTCCACCTTCAATACCACGACTGAGGTGAGACCCTTGAGCAAGGCACCGAACCCACAACTGCTCCCCGGGGGCTGCAGCAATACACTACTGTGTGTGTGCATTTGGATGGGTTAAATGCAAAGCACAAATTCCGAATATGGGTCACCATACTCGGTCACACGTCACTTCACTTTCATTTATTACAACACACATTTTACTAGAAAATGATCCAAATATGCAACAGCAATAAAATGAAATGCAAAAATAGTTAAACATACGTAAAACTAATTTTGCACTCATACTGCTTTCTGACTAAACATGCCTGTATTATTATCACAAGATGCATCAACATCACAAGGTTCATTTGATTTCAGAAATATCATATTCATTTGCTCCCAAAACACTATACATAGCTATATACATGAAAAAGCTACAGAAGAAAACTCATATTTTTTTGAATGCCTAAATCTTAACTTGCAACACTCCAACCTAACTACCCCATCTCCAAATGCAGAGGAAACACAAAATAGACCATAAATTGACACACTTCATAAACAACAAAGAGGCTATAAATCTCCAACGTCTGTGATAAAAAGATATTGTCCCCTTCATTTTAATTAAAACAGACAGTATAATGTACACTAAATGTTTTTTTATAATGTATATATATATATATATATATATATATATATATTTAACAGCTTCATTGGCCCTGTCTGAATGGTCGTGTCCTCACTGAGCTACAGAAATCCAGCATGCATTTCTGAATACTTCATTTAGGAAGTAAGCTCTGCCTGCTACCAGGAATGATTAGATTATAGGAACAAATATGAAAACTTTAAAACATATTCTTACTTGACTCGTGTCATTCATGTACCATGTGAAATGACCATTCAGATGATATAAAATATCAATAATATGTTATATATATATATGTTATGACCTATACAATATGTTATGTTAATATGTTATACAATGCTGACTCAAAGCTGACCTTCCACTGACAGTAATTACGACATTTCTGAATATTTGAATCCTTTTGTTTGTTTTATCATTTTGAATCTGTGCAGCAGTGGTTGTTTAGTTGTGATGGCTTGTCTGAAAAGGCAGCACTGAATATTGTATCACTAAATATTTTATCTAAAGCAAGGACAGGAACAAAACATTTTATGAGCTGAATCTGACTGATTTTCATACGTCATGTCAACTTTGTATGAAAGTTATATTTTCTAGTAAATAACGTGGTTCGGTGAGACCTCTTGTCGGTAAATGGCCCCTTTTTTGGAAAGACAATAAACATTATCCAGGCCAGATCAATATGACCAAATGCTACTGGTCTGTAAGCAGGCTGATGTCTATTACTAAAATGGCCTTGAGTCTGACTGTATCAGCAGTCAGAACATGTTTTGGAACATGACCTTCTTGTCTCTGACCATATGCTATGACAGAGACGGAGATCAAGACTGCATTTTTATGATCTTTTGAGGTCTTAACATTCTGTTCTGAACAGAGTTTCAAAATAAATAAATAAATGAAGAAAAAAAAACTTTTAAAGATTGTTTAATGGTGAGGAGTGCTTCCTAGGTGGAATATAACAAGAAGGTGCTCTATGGTCCAAAAACAAAAAGCTAAAAAAGGCACTATCATTTATTAAAATCCCTTTATCATCACAAGGCTATACATACAAAATGATCAGATCCTTTGTTCCTTTACGTTTTGGCATAAACCTTCCTAAGGAAAAGTAACACAATTTTTCCACAGGTGAGAGTAATATCATTCACGTAGTAAATCACATGATAAGCTGTCAGTTGCCATGTGACTCCATCACATAAGTGGGATGTCAAAATGTACAGCATTCACAAAACAGTAGGCAAAATTACCTGGATGACTTACTGCTTCCTGCGAGATTCTAAAATGAGCATCCGATGGACACTTTACTATTCCATGAGGCCACGGGAGAGGATTCATGAATGGCAGTGAGGTGACGCAACTGACACTAGCAGGTCACGTGACAATAACAACATGGAGAATATAGTATGTCTAGATTATATAAATATAAACACAGCTGTAGTGTTTAACATTCACTGTTATTACTTGTTTCAATATTCAAAGACAATTGTACATAGACTTTAACCTGTAAATCCAAAAAAGTCTTTGAGGCTAAGCATTTCCCATGATTCAGGGAAACATTTCCCAGGATTCAGGAACTCACAGAAACAGGAAATATGTCATGCAAGTAGACAACTGGTGAAGACTGCATGTGTGGTTATTAGGGCAATCCACCTGTTATGTGATGAAGTCAGATGCCATGAAGGATACCAGTGATACTGCCTTAGAATTTGATCAAAAAAAAAGTACCATTTGGAACAAGCTTCATGTCTAGAATCTGTCTATGATGCCTTTAATGGCTTGTTTCCACTGAGCGGTACGGTTCAGTACAATACAGTACGGTACGCAATTATTTACGTTTCCATTGTCAGAAGTTGTGAATGGTATCAAAATAGTGAACCGTACCATTCCACTTTTTTGGGACCCTTCCATTGGGGTATCTAGCACAGCAGCACACCTAAAGGGGGGAGCTAGACTCACTGCAGAACGTTGATTGGTTGACAGAGAATCGTCACTTGCGTGTGCTATAAGGGGAATGACAACACAAGGGGGATGAAGTGTCTCCTTCACTCGTTCCGCCATGCTGCTCATGCGTGTTGGGCTTGTTTAGAGTGTGCAAACACAAAAAAATATAACAGTGTATTTTATAATTTTATATTTTCACACACACACACACACACACAGACAATGTCGCATTTTCTTCTTCGTGCGAGAATGACGTCGGACGCTACTTTCCGGCATACACCACGTCTATCAAGTAAGGGTACTGTTGGTGGTGGAAACGCAAGCTGGAACAAAGTGTTCATCCTACCCGTCAGATTGTCCTTACTGCGCATGTGCACATCAATATTGCGTCAATGTTCTCACGCTGAACAACAAATAATAACTGTATTTTCATTACTGTAAGGGTAGGTTTAGGGTTGGGGTAGGTGTAGGTATTAATAAAGCATAATCTGTTGGGTATCATTTTTGTTTTTTTGTTGCTACCTACTGTTTCAATCGGAGGTAGCAAAATCTGACAGGGTAGCACAAATCATCAGAACACCACCCCGAATCGTACCGTACTGTACTGAACCTTACTGCTAGGTGGAAACGAGCCATAAGTGCAGTCTATATCAGCTCACTAGGTTTTGGAACAGAGCATTTCTGTTCAGCAGAAAAAAATGCACAATGTAACATAAATTAAAGTTACATCTTTTCATCATAAGATCAAAGCAAAAACATGTGGTCAGGAGTATAAATATACTGGTTGTGACATGGCACGGATTTTATGCGTAGGATAGTCAAGTATGTTTATGATGGTGGCCAACAGGTACTTTCAATTTACTGGCATGTCACTAAGATTTTACACTAGTCTATCATCTGTATGACTAATTATACACATCCAGTTCCAGAGGGATGGATTTTATAAATCTAACGTTTTATTGTTTTGTTTTTTTCCTACAGTGCTGTAGGATCTGAATGTTTAACAAATTCAGCTGTTCTGGGGAAACTACGGTTTGCCGCAGCAATTCATGGACACAGTACAGCAAGATGTTCTAAAATTCAGTTTAGCAAGTAAATTACACCAAACTAAGAGACAGCATGTGTTTATAACCTTGTGTCACAATTAGGGCTGGAATTAGCGCTCCAAAACAATTAGAGATCACCCACATCACACTGTCTTTCAGCATGTGGATGATGTCTATCACAATATTCACGTTTTTGCTCTGAAATATATTAAAACAACGATTGTATACCCGTTATCAGAGAAACCAACATTTTAACCAAACAATGTAGATTCTAAAAATAATCAAGGAATGTTTTCCACAATAAAACAACAAAAATAATAATTTATATGAATATAAATTAAACATATTCAAACATAAACCTATATAATTTTTTTTATCTACATATATAGTTCTACTAAACATTTAAATGCTTGGAAAATCCCACACAGAGCCCTTGGTTTCTGAGTGGCAATGCAAATTCATCCAAATGAATTAGAGGTTTGAATCTATTCACTAAAACCATTTTTACTTATTCACAGAACTCTACTGTTTTTTGTTTTGTTTGTTTTTTAATCAAGAAGTTTAAATCGGAGATGTATTACATCAAAGACTAGATACTTTTACATTATTACAAACAAACAAACAATGAGTAAGTAAACAAACAAACAAACTGAACTTTATACTCATCAAAGAATCCTGAAAAAATGTATCAATGTTTCAAAAATATGCAAAATCAATTGAAAAATATAAGCAGAACAAATTTTTTCAACATTTCAACTTAAAATAGAAAATAGTTATTTTAAACTGTGATAATATTTTACAACATTACTGTTTTTTTTTTACTGTATTTTTGATCAAATAAATTCAGCCTTGTTGGGCATAAGATTTTTTTTTTTTTTTTTAAAAACATTCAAAAATCTTACATTTTATTAGTAGTAGACGTACTAATAAAAAGGCACAAAGGTACATATCCGAAATGTCTATTGTGTTATAGTGTTACATCATTGTACAGTAATTTCAAGATCTGAAAGTAAATTCAATAAGGCCACACATACACAAATATTCCCAACATTCATATCTGCAAAGCATGGGGAGCAGGATAGCTCTTGTTTACTCTAATATGTTGTTTTGACTATTTTCATTTGGTCTTGATTTAGTAACAAAAGAATGAGTCACTCTCACGGCGTGTGTTGAGGTCATGCCAGATTGTATTACCATCACTCTTGCCACAGAGCTGAAGACGTGTGGCTGAACCTAATCAATTCTGGAGACGCAGTAATAGCGAGAGACAGTCGGGGCAAGAGGTTGACAATTATGCAAACACTGTGGACTGCAATGCAAATGTCCTCACAAATTATCTTTAAGATTATTTTTGACATTTATGCAAGGTCCCATTCAATTATGTGTCATGGTGGCTATTCAAAAGCATATCATGTTTTGGTTTGGTAGATTAAAAATGGACCGTGAGCGTGTTTTGTGGAATTGTTCTCTCGTATAACTTGGAGTCAGCCTTAGGTTGCAATTTAGATTTAAATTACAAACGTACCTTCTCTGGATCCATTGCTGTTATGACCCACACACAGTGTGCATTATTCTCATACTGGACGGGATAATTTGGAGACGTTATGATGCCTTTAGGGCCCCGCAGATTAGAGCCACAGGTCCTAGCTGTTGAATACAAAGAAAGTAAACGTAGATTTAACAATTGCAATGGTTTGTAGTTATTGCTGTTGCTACTGAAAAGAACGCAACGTACTATAAATTATATGACAATAGGTTTCGTAGATATATAATCATCAATATAAGAATTTAATGCAATATAACCAGCTTGTCATTACTTAAGGCATTTAAGGCAACTCAAAGGCTTTTCCAAAACGTAGTCATATGTCCTTCATAAAATGCAATCAATGCAATGCACTGCGATGAGTTCAGTGAAAACAAACAAACAAATTAATCCAAGATTGTGGATGAGCAAAGAGAAATACTGGTTATGAATGTAATTATTTTAGTACTGCAAATACTGATAAAATAGTGCAATCAAATTATAAAAGGCCAATTTTACTTTACATTCTCAACTTACAATTGTTTGACTTTAGCATCTCTATTTTTAGCAATGCAATTTTGTATTGAATATTTTATAAATCAACATTTATAACTGATATTTCTCTTCCTTAACCGTTTTCACTGAGCTTGTCACAATGCATTATGGGACTGCCTTCTCCGTACATGCATATATGCAAGGCTGTCTTCAAATTTGGCCAAAACTAAGTATTTTAGAATGCTGCCTACCTTGTGGAACAGTCTCTGAGTCGACAGTGCACCTATGATGCCTAAAATGCTTTATACATACACAGCTTACTAGGTTTTCAAATAGATATTTCCATCCCGCCCCACACTAAAAACACTTCCTTTGAACACATCCAGACCTCACGACATGAGCTAATCTATTTAAGGTCATGCCTCAGAATAACTTGACTCAATCATTGACAAAGTCAGGGTATTTTTTTCCAACCCTATACTGTGCCAGGGTATTAACTGCTTCTCCCTTGTGTTTAGTCAGGGATTTTTTTTTGACAGCTTAAAAGAGCAGCCCCACTCCGTTGCCGTGGCTTCATTGGCTTCTTCAAAGGGTACAAAGGAAGATTTGGATAGGTAGAGATGTGAAGAGATTATGTAGCATATATTCTCAAACAGAGCTACTTCACTGCAGAAACTACTATGTGAAAATTAATTCAAAATGTTTTGGGAAAAAAAAAAACATATACAGACAATAATCTCATCAGAAACATCAACCACCAAATTAATATTATAAAATCAACGTATCACAGATGAACCATGACTATTTCTTGAACTGGTCTGGATTGATCCACTATCGATCCACCATCAGTCTAGCTCTTATCTATATAAAGTAGATGCTTTTATATGCATCAACAAATAACACCATCTGCAGTGGCATCTGCATATCATTAATGAATAATGCACAAAATTGAATGCACACTATATGTGATAAATAAATGACAAACAAACATATGCAAGATAAGCTTTGTAACTTAGAACAAAAGGCTGAATAAGTTGAATAATATGTTATAACAGCAATTGCAAGACACAGTGTATTACACACTCAAATGTTAATCATTCTCGGGTACAACCACAGAAAACAACAATAAAAGACACATCCAGAATTGTCTGATTGAATTGTGAGGAGCCCCAAAATTCCTAGCTGTTCTATTAATATACATCATTTTAATTAAGTAGCAATTTTGGAAATCTTTAAGTGGGGGGAAAAAATCCTCCTAAGCATGAAATTATCTCCAAAACAGAATGTGAATGGAGTCTCTGTATTCAGGCTTAAATGGTTCAGGCAAAAGCAACTGCAGAGGTTTAATAGTCAGGGGTTTGGAACCCTAACCTGAATGTTTGAGGAATATCAATACTGTGCTGCTTTGCAAACACTGTCATAAATATAGCAATTTCCTTCAAGGATTTTCTCTTTAGTTTACAGGGTGTACTGTATGTTTGATATCAACATAGATGAAGTCATGCTCACCTTTGAACAGTAACCTATAAAATAATGACTCTGGTTACGACTAGTTTTAAGAACATGAATAGCTGTGATGTGTCTGACATGTACAATGACCACTTTCATGGTTTGTATACTTGCAAACTGATGTTATAAGTGCAACTTAATTATCAAAGTAGCAGTAAATGCAGAAATCAGCAGTCAGATTGAGCTTCTCTCTTATTCAGAGGTACTCCATAATTAACTCAAAACATCTCATGAAATTTTCTTTAAGACCACAACTAAAGCGAGAGAGAGAGAGAGAGAAGCAAAGCACAGGAATGACTAAATCACAAGGCTAAAAGGTCTTTAACTTCCTGTTTTATACCATCACTCCCCTAACATATCACAGGAAGAAGGTAAGGAAGGCATTTAAGGCTTGTGTTTAAAAAGGTTACTTGGCACTGCTGAAACAAAAAGTGTCTGGATCAATCAGTGATTGGCGAGAATTGTGCAAAGAATTTGTCAAACATGGTTACTCCTCTGTCTGCCCGTCCGACACACTACCTTATTTCATTTTGATTAATGTCATCTGGAGGCCTGTGTCCTCTATGCCTTTCAAAGCAGACCCATTCAGGTCTCATCTTAAAGGGATAGTTCACTCAAAAATGAAATGCAAGAAACTGAACAGTATTTATATCGTTGTTTACCTCTGATTCACCGCAATGTCCGAACTGTCCTGAGCGCGTTTGCATCTTCTTCTTCAGCCGGCGCTTGACACGTCTTCTTCTTCTTGCTTTACGGCAGATCGCAGACTTATAAGTGCATTACCGCCACCTATCTCTCAAATGGACCATTGACACTCTATCTAACAGACCGATCGTTTCGTGTCTTTACACATCAATGTATTGTCACGAGCCGCAGGGTTTAATTTGGATTTGTTTGTGTTAAAAATTTTGAGTTTGAGTTAAAAACTTCATTTGTGTTCTACTGAAAAAACAAAGTCACCTACCTGGATGCCCTGGGGGTAAGCAGATAAACATCAAATTTTCATTTTTGGGTGAACTATCCCTTTAAGGGTACATCTAGCATGAGATAAGGTTTCTGGGATGTCCATAATAATAATAATAATAATAATAATAATAATAATAATAATAAATAAAATAAATAAAATAAACAAAATAAAAATAAAAATATAAATCAATCCAGCAATCCAGCAATATCTGCTTTTATTATGACGGCTGAATTGTATCAACCTTGTTGCATTTCTCAGATCTTACGGTGTGTTCAAATTATGTCATAGTTACGAGATTCCAAATATTAACATCTCTACACATATTACCCATAGCTGAAGCTCCCAAATGCACTAGGCCCTTGATGCAGAGGAGCATATATAGCTGAATTAAGCGGTTTGATATATTTTTCTGACATCAACAACATAGCTGCACGTGGATCCATTTTAATGTTATGAGCGTTGCTATAGAAATTAATTATGTCAGAGTCTGAGGATGTGAACAGATCTGGGCTTTATTCATGAAACATGAATAGAATGAGTTGTGTTGCAATTTTATAAACTATTTTTATGTAAAATATTAAAGTACAATATTAAGTACAAAGTTATTAGACAAATTTGATTTAGTATAATAAGAAAATATCAAACACTGGGTTTTGGAATAGAATGAACATGTACATGTTGATGTCATCAGCGTTATGGTGGTATAATGAGAGCTAATGTTTGCAAAAGCTAGCAAAACTTTAATTAAACTTGGATTATTTCCTTTCTAGTGAATAACAGTGCCTAATAAAAGTAAATATCACTCCTCATTAATCTGCCTGATGAAATGAATAGATGTGGATAAAAATTACAAACTAAGAACAAAGGAGAAGTCATTAGCAAGAGTAAAACAAAGAGTTTTACTAAATAAGCCCAGCCTAGACTGTTCAGACTCTGAGCACAGGGGTTGCCAACTGACAGACTCCGGTCCAAATCCGGACCGCAAAGCCTTTTGACATAATGAAATAAATAAATGCCAAACGCTATTTTCTAATAAAATCAAATTTATATCAAGCACATCAAGGTCAGCTCAGAAGAGCCGTTTGGGTCCTACGGCGCCACGGGTTGCTACTACAGTCAGAGATTGTCTTACTACTGGGAAATGAGGGGATCTGTATTACCAAAGTCCCTTTAAGGCAAGTCATTTCACTCGGTGGCCATCTTTGAAACGCCTCAAGTGCAGCTCCTATTTCTCTGAATGGGGAAACATCAAATTCTCCAAAACTGTTCGCCAAGCTTATGATTAAATTTCATATTTGAAATCACCAATGAAATCTGACAACAACTGTCTCAAAAATGTTGTTTCTTTTGTTCAAATAGTGTTAAAAAAATTGCATTATTCAGGCTAGACCAGCCAGTGTGCATGCGCAATCTTAAGCACACGTCTCAGAATGCTGACTGCTTCTATAGCAACCGGGACTTCTAACGGCAGCTGCAGTGATGAGTTGACTTTACCGATTAGCAATTGGCTCTTTTACTCAGAAGGCGGGGCTTCTTTAGATAGAGTGGCCATATTGAGTGTTGCATTTTCCCCCATTCAAAACTATACGAGTGACATATCTTGGGTATTCTATAGTCTTTGGTATCATAGATATGTACAGGTAGATGCCACATTCAACTGCTCCAGACACGTCGACGTGTCCGCCATTTTGGAACGTCAATGTGTCGTCACTCACAATAAAAATCAATGAGTTTCAAGATGCCACAACACTGAGCAGCCTCTGGATGTAAAAAACACCAACATTTAAATTCCTGAAGAAATTGGATAAACTTTCACAGGTAAGAATGTGCTGGTTTGTGTTTTTAATATGTATCAACCCAATATTACAGGTTTTTAAACTACAGTACCTTTTAAATGTGTTAGCTAATGGCTTTGTCTTGTTGTGTTAGTGTAGCAAAATTATCTGCTGAAGTCTATTGCAGATTTAGATATTCATACTTGCGTATAACTAGGGTTGCAGACATAGAGGCAACTTGCTCTTGAGTGTTCACAGACCTGCTTTGACCATTCCAATATGGAGGAGAGTTTATGTATAGCGGCCCATAGAAACAGCGGCTAATAGGGCATCTATATATACATATCTATGTTTGGTATTATTTATTATTGGAGAAAGCGTAGCGGTCAACTTGGATCATGTGTGCATTAATAACCAATCACATTATAGCCTTGACGTCATTGAATTTCAGTCAGAGTTGTGTGACACTCAATCGCCGTTTACGGACACCATAGGAATATATGAGAAGTGCCGTAAGCTGAATCCCACCTGTCGCAAAAAGTCAGTGACTTCTCTTATAACTGCATTCTTTTTGGTGTAAACTCAAAAAATAGTTCAATCCAAAAGTATTGCTTAGTGTAAAACATGTTGAAGATTAGCTGATGGGCTGTCTATTCATTAAATGATGAGCTGTTTCCTCTAAAAAACTGTTTATTCAGCGTTGTGAAGCCTCTCCTCCATTGACATCAGTTTAAAAAAAAAAAAAATGTCCTCTGGTCTCCTTTCCCGCGTACTGCCAAAGTGGAAGCGTTAGCATTAGCGGTTACGCTTTTTTGGCTAAAGGTTGCAGGCTTGCGTTCTAGTGTTGCAGGCTTTACCCTGCAGCCATATCACCCTGCAGCCCAAGACTGGTTGCCCACTGAAGCTAAGCAGGGTTGAGCCTGGTCAGTACCTGGATAGGAGACCTCCTGGGAAGAGTAGGGGTGTAACCCCGGTGTCCTGGCCAAATTGCCCCCCTGGCCCTTGTCAATCATGGCCTCCTAATAATCCCCAACCACTTGATTGGCTCTATGACTTTCTCTCCTCTCCACCTGTAGCTGGTGTGTGATGAGCGCACTGGCGCCGTTGTCCTGTGGCTGATGTCGCATCATCCAAGTGGATGCTGCACACTGGTGGTGGTTGAAGAGAGACCCCCCAACATGATTGTAAAGCGCTTTGGGTGTACAACAATACACAAGCGCTATATAAATGCATCATTCATTCATTCATTCATAGTGGCTTTGCTAATGTTAACTGTTGCTATACGTTCAGACGGAGAGCAGCGTGCAGACAGATTAAACTTTCAGTGAGTGACAAACAATGGCTTTCTCAAAAATTATGAAAGTTGACGGGTCCTTAAAAAGTCTTATATAGTCTTAAATTAAGTTGTATCAAATTTAAGGCCATAAAAAGTCTTAAATGGTAAACAAAAGTTTTAATTATGATTTCAGAAGGACTTACATTTGGGGAGGGTAAGACAAGAATTGCGATACGACTTAATGTGACAATTAAACTTCAAAAGGCCATGATTTTATTGAATAAATAAAGCGCTGCACGTTGCAGAGTCAGCTGCTGTGCTGCTTTGTCTACTGCGGTTACCGTGGTAACCATATATTTCTGCCGTTCCAAAAGTCGCACTTGCTGGCAGAGAATGACTGTGCATTTTCAATAAGCCCGTCTGCTGTTTTTGTTCAGATCAATGTGAAAATCAACCCATGTTTTTATGCAGCAAACATGCAGAGCTGTAAATGTGAACTGCTGGATCGACAAGAAGATAATGCATTATAAAAATGTAAACAATTAAGAAAATAACATATATTTATATGTTATTTAATTAATATAATAATTGATTGATAATAATTGATTAAATTAATATAATAGTTGATACTTTTGACTTTTTCTTAAACAAATTGTTTAAAGGCTGAAATGTGAAGTTTATCATTTTATAAAACTTTTTGTTTTGTGGATTATCTTCTCTGCTAACTAACAATGTAAGAGATTCTATTTCTTATAATGCTGTCTACCTTTTGAAACCGCCTTTTTGCCTATAGAGAGCACACTAAATTTTGTAACAGTGCTACAGTCGTCAAGAAAACTCTAAATGCATAATTGAAATCCAGACATGTTCTTTGATATATTCACGTGTGCCAGTGTTATCTTTGTTAAATCCGTGTGGCACAACCATTCCTACGAATTGTGTAGCCTTACTCCCTACTGCCATGTGGTACACATGTCACTTAACAGGATCTGACAACGTCCCTACAGAAAGTGTCTGAGCCATATTTGCACTTACTCCGACAGATAGGCCTGTGGTCACTCCAGGCCGCCAGGGTCTCAGTCACTCTCTGACAAGTGATGCTCTTTGATCCCTGCAGTACGTAGCTGTCGTCGCAGGAAAACTGGATGCTGGCTCCAACCCTGCCGAAGTTTAAATGACCGTCAGCGATTGACCAGCTACATGAGTCACACCATCAACCCCAGACCCTCTATATGTCTCTTACACATCCTTCTTTTATTAGATGAAAGCAGTTTCTGTCAAACGTCTATAAACCGCTTGTCTCTTCTATTTTCAGATTCCCCCACATCGTATTCCATTAAATGCAGAACATGTAATGGCCCTTGGTTCTTTCTGTAGGGGCATTAGAAACCCACTTAGTAGCAGTGACCAAAGGTCCTGGTGGTAATGGCCTATCGGTATGGGAGTTCAGACGGACGTTTCAAACAGCAGGCCCAGGCCTGATTAAAGCTGTGTCATGCAGTTAAAAATGACAAGCGCAACAGATAAGAGAAGAAAAAGAGGACCTACTGGAAGATGGAGCCAATTCTTTTCCCGTTCTCAGGAATCCCCGGATCTGGACAAATGTCTGCAGCCATCCCACCTTGGCTTACTGCATGAACGTGAGAGCATGCAAGAGAAGACAAAACACACAAAAAAGATGAGGAAACAAAATGAGACATATTTTGTGTGATAGTCGACTGGTCTGTGTTCAAGATAGTGTATCAGAAGGATTTCACCAGATGCACTGCCTCATTACCGAACGCTTATGAATACGAAAACACTCAAACATGTATGTGAGTTGTCTTGGTCAAATTTCACAAAGCTCAAATGAAACAAATAGGAAATTATATTTAAAGCAAATAAAACTTTTTTTTAAGGTCTGTTATCATTATTGCTACAATTAAACACATTAAGCACAATAATTTCATTCTCATTATTGTGTAATGCCTTGAAATTAAGCTGATAAACAATTAAAACAATGAAAACTAAAAAACACCTGGATGCAATGTGCTAATTTATCATTAAATTATATATATATAAACATTCAAAAGTTTGGGATCAGTTAGATTTTTTTAAATTTTTAAATTTTGTATTTTTTTATTAAGATGTCTCTTATGCTCATCAAGGCAGAAAAATTACAGAAAAATACAGAAAAAAGTATTGATATATATTCTAATATGCAATGTAATATCATTCTAATATGATTTAATATGATCTTACTGATCTCAAACTTCTGAACTTTTATACAGTAAATGACAAAAAAGGGTAAAAAATAGAATTTTCCTTTCTAAAAACAAACCCTACCAAAGAACCTATTAAAGAGAAAAGCAATGGAATGTTCCCATTCAGTACAGCCAGAGTGTACAGTGTTCATTAGAATGCCAGTAAAGATTGCACTCACAGGTAGAATATCTATTCCTGTAGAGCTGACAGGGGATTTAGTGGTGGTAAGCTCAAGGCTATTTCCAATAAAAAGCAAATAAAGGTCAAAGCATGTCCCATGTTTCTCCCCTCCCCGCTCTCTTGTTTCTCCTAAGCCACAATGAGTTTGTGTTCACACAGCCTCACTTTCTGACATCCCTCTGAGTTCAATTACTGGCCAAAATCACATTAGGTGAGTTCATGGATGACTTCACAGCAGGTGCAGCATTGACCATCTTTACATCCACATAATTTCCCATGTTTTAAAGGGGCCATATGTTTGACTCTATTTAAAGGGGCCATATGATGTTGCTAAAAAGAAAATTATTTGGTGTATTTGGTGTAATGAAATATGTTTATGCGGTTTAAGGTTCAAAAAACATTATTTTGGGGAAGTCGTGGCCTAATGGTTAGAGAGTCGGACTCGTAACCCAAAGGTTGCGGGTTCGAGTCTCGTACCGGCAGGGATTGAAGGTGGGGGGAGTGAATGTACAGCACTTTCTCCCCCTTCAATACCACGACTGACGTGCCCTTGAGCAAGGCACCGAACCCCCAACTGCTCCCCGGGCGCCGCAGCAAAAAAAATGGCTGCCCACTGCTCCGGGTGTGTGTGCTGTGAGTCAGAACAGCCGGGATTGTAGTCTACTCTCCCAGGATCAGGAAACAGTCCTCCATAAAATGTGCTGCACACATCTGAATATTTGGGTTGAACTGTTCTGGAACAGTGTTGTAAATACAACTTAACCACTGATTTCTAGTCGTTTCCTCTTTTGGAAGGCCAAACAAAGTATTTTCGCTTTCACAACGAAACACAGCGTCACAGACGGCGGGCTAGAGACAGCGGAGGCTGGAGGCCTAGAGTGAGCAGAGGCCGTGGGCTAGAGTGAGCGGAGGCCGGCTTGAGTGAACGGCGGCTGGAGGGCTTGAGAACGGCGTGGCGGGCAGCCTTGCGGCAACCACATGTGACGACCCCGGGCTGGACTCCGCTTCGTCCACGGTGAAAGCCGATCCGGCGATCCACAGCGCGAAGTTTATGTATTTCCTCAGCGACCAGCACGGATCAGCTCCAGGCATGACAAAGCGGATATCGTCCTCTTTTGGAAGGCCAAACAAAGTAGTTTCGCTTTCACAACGAAACACACAGCGCCTTCACAACATGGCGGCGGCGGCAACAACAATACTACAGCGAGAATAAAAGTTACACCTTCTTTCTTTGCGTGAACATTTGGGCGGCGTTATGCAAATCTTCCCACATCGTGATGTAGACATGTTGGGGCATGTTAGAACGAGCCGTTTTAGGTAGGCGTGGTTGACTCTTAACTTTTATAAAGAATATCTCTTTGGATTTGAGACTTTAGTCTTTGCAACTTTACAGATCCTCTTTATGCACCAAGAGCTTGTAAAACTCCAAAGAGAAAGGAAAAATTGAAATCGCATCATATGACCCCTTTAATCTATTTTATGATTATATATTATATTTGTTATTATTATATATTATCTTTTGTATTATTATGTGCCAGCTGCTTTATTTGTATTTCTAAACTGGAATATTGGTTTAATTGGTTATGGAAGTTGGTCTAGCACAGCTGCATGACGTTAACCAGAACAAATGCGTTCAGTAAAATAGACTTTGCTAAATAAAAATATTTCCTTGAATTTCTGATACAACAACAATAAATTAAATATTATTGATGTTAAAAGGGTGGCACACCAAAGCATCATATGAATAGCTATTAATTGGCAACAGAATAGTTTTAATCAAAATGATTTTATGTAAGAACAAATTTAACGCCTTGAATTGCACTTCATGACTGTGCATTCTTTAGGCTAAGTGTAACATTAACAAAACTTAAAACTGTTACTTAATATTAAGTGCTTTAGTAGTTTCCTCAAAGCAACAGTGTTGGTAAAGGCATTTTATAATTAAAAGGTCTGCTTGATTTTAGTCTCAGCATCAGTTGGCAGTTGGCACATCCACAGTTCCTTTAGCAATCATCTGATGCATATTATACACACAAGCTTATTGGCTGGCCGAAAAAAAAAAAATCAATCAATAATAAAATGAGCTTTGTTTGAGACACTAGTAATGAGTAACCTAGATATGCAAGAGCAGAACTGTTTTGTCTGTACAGACAGAAAATCACATTATTATTTATACACACATGTTTGTGCACCATCAGTGACTGATTGACTGACTGACTGACTGACTGATTGATTTAATTAATTAATGAATTTCCTCCTTCAACGGCGCATTGTGCTACATAATTTTTAGATAAACTTGCTGCCTAATAGGACTTAAAAACAACATTTACATTTGGTCACATTCATGTCAGTAGAAAATTATGTCTATATGAGTCTAACTGTCACACTTGCCTGCTGTTAGGAGCGAGGAACGAGGAAACGAGGGATTACACACAGAGGAAACACAGGGTAGCCAGGAGTAACACGTAGCAAAACGACGTTCAGAACTGACAAACACAGACTGCACAGACAGGGGCTAAATACATGGGATAATTGGGAAGACACAGGTGGAATCAAATTAACACGAGGAGATAATCCACAATGGGAGCTTGAGCCAACACACATAGAGAACGAGTAGACCTGACATATCGCACCCCTCCCGGAAGGTGCGTCCTCGCACCGTAGAACAACACAGAGGGGGGGAATGGGTGGGAACTAAGGAGGAGGCTCAGGAGGATGACGGACACCCGGGAGGGGGCCGGCAGACAGAGACCAGGGAGGCAACGAAGGAGGGAGGAGCAAGGGAGGAGACAAGAGGAACTTGGAGCAGGAGGAGTCCAGCTGGACCCAGGCCACAGCCATAATGACGGCCCACGGTGGAGCCGGCGGAGGGAGGAGCCATGCAGGAGGAATGGCCGCCGACTCCAGGGTGCCGACCAACGGCGGCGGAGCAGGTGGTGGAGGAGCCCGAGGCGGAGACGGAGAGCCAACGAGCCAGGGGGATGCCGAGGATCTGGGGGGCCAGGGTGGAGCCGGGGGCTCTGACGACCGAGGCGGAGATCCGGAGATCCGCGGCAGAGCCGGCTCCACTCCACGCTCTCACCGTCCACGGCTTGCTCCCTCGTGGTGGGCGTGGTGGCCGGCTCACGCACCTGCTCGGACAGACTGGGCACTTGATCCGGGGCGATCCTCCGTTCAGTCACTCTGTACTGCGCTGGCTCGTTGATCGCAGCGGGAACTGGCTCTCCGTCCTTGGTGGGCTCGGGCATGTGCTCTGTGCAGTGGGGAGATGGTGGGCTGGGCTCTGGGTCGAGAGTGGGACTGGCGAGATCCCCTTCGGAATAGACGGTTAACGGGGATCCGTTTCTCGCCAGTATCCACTCTACAAAGGCAGCGAAATCCGCTCAAGGGCCATCTTCGGACGACGGCGGGGTTCAGGCTGGCATCATAGAACACGCAGAGCGCGTCGTCCGGGTAGGTGGGGAGATGGGCGATGGCCAGAAACAGCCCTCAAGCGCTCTCTCCCCCTGCTCCAGCAGGAGGAGGAGGTAATCCGGGCGGAAGAAGGGGTCGAGAGAGAGAGAGAGAGAGAGAGAGAGAGAGAGAGAGAGAGAGAGAAGCCCAAGGTTTTCACTTGTGTGAGGAGGCTTTTTGATCACCTGCCACATCCTTCTTTTTGATGTGGTCTTCATATGTCATCTCCCCTGATTGTTGATATCAGTCTCTAGAGTTATTCTGTCTGATCAAAGCGGGTGTCTGGTTTTCTTGGACATTTATTTTCCTCCTATAGTGCCCTGCAATCACCTCAATATGTGTCAAAGACTTTCTCATAACGCACATGTAAACGTTTAATACATAAATGTCAAGTTTACTTCCATTCCAATCAAAGATCTAAGAGCTGTCCTTAAAGGAGCTGTAAGCAGTTTCACTAACTTCTGCCAGATTTAGCTACCAAAGACTAAAAATCACATTCATTTTCTTCACAGAAAAAAAAAAGTACTCATTTTTAGCAATAATACCTTTTAAGACAGACCTATCATAAGCTCAGAGGTTAAGGAATGATACACACTGAAAAAAGTGGTATAGAAACGATCTTCACTCAGCAATTACAAGTACATTTCACAAACAACTACAAAGAAACAGCAGGTAATTAAAACATTCAATTTTGAAGTTAAATTTCAGTATTTTTGGTAACACTTTTTATTAGGGAATACTATTCACTATTAACTAGTTGCTTATTAGCATGCATATTACTAGCACAATTGACTGTTTATTAGTGTTTAGTTATAAAGCTCATATTAATACATGGCCATATTCTAGATCACTTAACGCTACCCCATGCCTAAACATAACTACTACAACAACAACCTTATTATCAATAAGCAGCAAATTAGCATTAGTTTACTGAGAGAAATGTAAATGTGGTGTTCCCTAATCTAAAGTGTTACAATATCTTCTTGTAAAGCATACTCCAATAATCTTTGTTTTATTTACAACTTTAAAAACTCACTTGTTACATTGTAGGGTTAGGACTGAAAAGGGGTGGAAAATTCCCGGTAAACTTCCAGAAAATTTCCAAAATGTTTTGTAAACTTTCGGAAAAATTTGGAAATAAATAGCCAAACTCCTCTTTAAGAAAAACATGCAATAAGATTTTTTGATCCAATAAATGCAGCCTTGATGAGCAGAAGATACTTCTTTAAAAAAAACATTACAAATCTTACTGATCCCAAACTTTTGAACGGCAATACAAGCTATTTGCAAAGCTTTATTGGATACCTAGTTCGTGAACTAAAAATATGCACAGTATTACAGTATATTTGTATTATTTATAACTTGAAATCAAGTTTATACAATTGTGCTTTGGAAAATGGAAAATGCTGAAATCATCAGTTTCAATGGGATTGGCTAATGCTATGGATTTTCCGGGAGGGCACAAAGGTTTTATTTATTTATTTTTTAAGTCTGCCAGTATGCAATGTTGAAACAATAAGCACTTATCACACCAATCACCGACACTTCCCATGACATCATGTTATCATCTTTTTCAGATAAATCCGGCCCTACAAGTGAAAACCATCAAGCTGTGGTGAGTCCATCATGTCAAAGTGGACCAGAGTGTGTATGCTTATAGTCTAAAGTCTGGCTACGTAAGAGTAAGACTAGATGTGCACAAATGCACTTACTGTACACTATAAAAGTTACATTGCATGTTTGTGATGTGAAATTGTGTGGTTTGTTTCAGTAAAATGACAATCTCTTCATCTACTATGAGTGAACTGGGCTGTTTGTCATGAAAACCCTAGGCAACCTCTCTCATGTTGCATGTAATGACTGACTGAGTGTCCATAAACAAGCTATTGTCATCATGCACACACTGTGTAAATTTTACAGAAGCTCAACTGAAGTGGTGTACTTCACGGAGTCAGTCAGCAGCTTTTGTAATGTTAATTGCCACAGAACTTGTTCAACGAAGCGCAGAATGGGCGAAATCATGCATACAGCATAACTTTGCGTGGCTTCCTCCATCCTATTAAGAATATCATCAAGGGCATCTTTATTAAACTCATAATGAAAACAAGCAAGGCCACGATATGACTGAGGAGAATACAGTTGTGTGAAGAGAATGGAACAGTTCAAGATAGTTTATACATTAACAATCTATAGATTATATTTTTTATCAGAGGCACAGTTGTGCTTTTTCCACATATTAGCATTCCATTAGCGAAAAGTATAAAACAGAACTTTTGGATTTTGAAAAGTGTGGTGCCTGCCATACAGTTTTATCAAACCAATATTAAACTACCAGAGTTATGTAAGAAAATTGACAATGACACAGTTTAGGATCATTGTACAAAGACATCTTAAAGTGTAATGCTGGAATTGACCTATCAGGATCAAGTATTTGCAGGAAGCGATGTACTAAAGTCTATGCTAGGACAGGGTGGCATGCTATGTGTGCAACAGTAGAGATTTTGCTATACAATGAGTAATAGAGCAAGAGCAAGACACTTCTCAAACCAGTCAAGATGAGGAAGAACTTATTAGTAAATGGCGTGATGCAAAGTGGCACAACAGAATTTAGCAGAGGTGCCGTCACAGTTGTGTGGATTATACTGCATATTTTATAACAGGCTGGATTTTGGCTCATCTAATCAGAATTTAGAGTTAGAACAATCTGCTGGTTTGTGTACAAGTATCAAGTTATATTAATTGACTAAAAAAGTATATAATAAAAATAAATAAATAAACTGTATTGTGACAAAGACTATGATACAAGACTCATGATATAAAATGCAGCCCAAGTTCATTGAAAATACGTGCTTGTGGCAACAGTTCTTCAACACCGATAAGCTACGTGACCGTGGCCACATTTTTATTATGTTGGTACAGGCACTTATTCCTGCATTTTTATTACATTGCTTCAGGTACGTATTGCTCTCACATGAGCTAAATCACTAACATACTAAAAAGCAGTGAGAACTTTAGGCATTTTACCTATCTTGTCTAGACCTCATGGTCTGCAGTGAAAGCAGCATATTAGGTCATTTCTACTTAGATGAACTAATGTCTTCTCTTGTTTTATGATTGCTTAGGTTTAAGTGGGGGTCTGTTAGAAGTGTACTTACAGACTGCATTTTTGTGACTTGTATCCTTGCTCGGGAGCATTTTCACCCCTCTGGATTTCAGCTCGATGGCCTTCTTCACTGTTGGGAGAGGGTAGAGGTGAAGTGTGTGGAAGTGGAAATCACAATCCATTTATACAGTTAGCAAAACCTGTCGAGTACCCAAGAGTGCCAACACCTCATTGAATACGAGCAATCCTCTATGAATCAGTCTTGCATGGGCCATCAAAATAAGTCCTGATGGGCAGAGGTATTTTCATAATTAGCAGAGGTAGATCTTCAATGATGGGCACACTTTGTTATCCGACACACAACAATCATTCCGGCATGCAATTATTGTACACCCTACCAATATTTGCATCATCTGGAGCCAATTTAGATTTTAAAGCATTTCTGAATTCCGTCCTGTAATTATGTCATGTAGGATGCCAATTATGACCCAGGCAGGAATCATGAAATAAATTCACCTTGCATAATTTTGGTCTCTGTAAGACATCCGCCCCATCAGTGGGCTTTAATACAATTCCAAGGTGTTTTCATTTTAGTAAATATGACACAATAAATGAGAAATCAATGTGGCAAAATAACAATTGTTTGTTGTTAGAAATTATCCTTTTAATTGTATTTCAGGAAAGCGACCTTTACTATTCCCTCAAACCACCACAGAATCAGAAAGCATATTTTCTGTAACTGAACTAAAAATTGTCATTGGTAGGAGATAAATATTAAAATTTTATACCAAACATTTCATAAATCTATTACTTAATCTATTATCTCTAAACTGTATAAACACACACGGTGATTAGTACAGTAGTACTGTGTGTACGCGCATGTCCAGAACTGGTACAGTGCTTCAACCTTGCTAGTCTGGTCAGGCATTATACATTCCAAAAATATTTAGGCCTAAATTTAAGATTTATGCATTTGATTTGCATATAAAATTTCCATCCATTTGGATTGCATAGTGTTAACACAAACAAATTACATTTAAAATTTTAACTTAATGTGATCATATTTATCAGTCATACAGTACATAAATGAAACGAGTAAGAAACATGTAAGATGTATGTTACAGTATTAATAAACAGAATGTGTTTTAAGTTCATAATAATCAGGTTTACATAATTGTCATCAATAAAACCAACTTGTTTCAATCACATACATTTTTAATAATCGAATGTTGCTTGTTCCACAGCTAGTCATATTTTAACTATGTTCATACTTTTAAACTGAATACATTTCATTATTTTCACAATGAACAGATTTATGCATATTCTACGCATTCTGAATAAATGCATTTTAAAAAATATGATTATTTCAATAAAATCAAATAGATACAATACAATTGCGGTAATACTAAAATAAGCCATGCCAAGCATAGGATTTGCATTCTTCTGAGGATTTACATTGATCCAAACTGATGTACAATTGTATATGCAAATCAAATACAATAATCTTAAAAGCCATAAATATTTTAAAGTATATTCACATTTAACATGTAAAAGTCAACATTGTATTAAACTTAAGCAAATTCAGATGATACACATTTTGTCATTTAATATGGATTAAACTGATCACAAATTAAATTATAACCCCAGGTGTGATTTTTGTTTAATCCTCATGTTTGTAAAAAAAAAAGAGAGAGAGAGAGAGACTTTTTACTGTCACCTCAGGAAAAGGTGCTCATGTTCATCTCTAGCTATTTCTAAGTGGTTAAACTGTTAAACTGATCACAAATTAAATTATAACCCCAGGTGTGATTTTTGTTTAATCCTCATGTTTGTAAAAAAAAAGAGAGAGAGAGAGAGACTTTTTACTGTCACCTCAGGAAAAGGTGCTCATGTTCATCTCTAGCTATTTCTAAGTGGTTAAACTGACGGTGTTACAACCGTTCCCATTCTCACCTATTCATGCACCAAGACTGTGGCCATTTTCAATCCATTCTAAGCATGCACATAATTTGTAGTCTACACAAATTGCAATACTTCAACTGTGCATATATTTTTGTCATATAAAAGAAAGTGCATTTATAGCCAGTGCTCTAAAATGTAACAAATTTAACAAATCCCCTGAGATTCACGACATCCCTCGCTTATTATGCAAATAGAAAACACGATCATAAACGCATATCATGAAAATGATTTAAAGCGCCTCATCTAGCATTATTCACGTTAGAACCATGAATTCCCTCACTACTGTTGTGACTGATTTCCCAATTTAAAAAGGGGTTGGGGGTGGGGGGTGGAGGGGTTCAGTGCGATGCTCTAATCATCATTCCAGCAATGTGTCTGCACACTTAGAGAAGCCAAGATGTCATTTTTAGCTACAGCAGGACACGCCAAGGGATGTGTTGTCTTTCACTGCCAACTGTCCCACATCTGCCAATGATGAGCCCTCCTCTCCTCCAGTGTCCTACACACACTGACCGCTTACCTTGATACTGGGCACTAAAGCCTTTCCTCCGATGGTTGCTGTCAGATGTGAAGTGAAGCCGCAGCCAATTCTTGCTACTGATGACAGGGGATGGCAAATTCATTCCAGTCAGCCTTAAAAGAAACAAGATATTCATTTCATAGAACAAAAAGGCAATTAAAATCAACTGTACAATCTGAGTTTCATTACAAAATTGCATGGAATAAATAAAAACAGTTTTGCACAGATAAGGGTTACCAAAAAAAAAAAAAAAACTTAATTTGAACATAGAATTAGTTTCACATAAACAATTCAAATGTAATTATTTAAACATTCCCTATTCTCATTGTAACCTTCCCAAAATATCCTTTATATCGTATTGGAGTACTAATTAACAACATTTTTGGGAAACACAACAATTCCAATTTATTTAATTTACATAGGAGATTTAATAAAATAAAATAAAATAATAATAATAATTATTATTATTTTTGTTTTTGTAAAGTCATACTCCATTTACATTACTTCTGAACTTCTGATTGTGGGAATTTAATATCAAAGTTTGATATTTTTGTTACTTATATACTTATACTTATATTCTTTTTAGCATGCCAAATGATTTTTATCCATATTCCTCATTCTATTATTCCAGATAATCATGCCAGAGATGAACAGAATAGTTAATTAAATGTACTATGCAGACTTGAGTGAATTTGCATCTCTTAATTATGCTTCTTGTCAGCTGAACTGCATTTCCATTTCAATATTTCAATTCCCTGCAGTGTGCCGCTATACTTCTTTTATGAGACGTGGACACCCAAGGGCTTTTCTGCTTCTTTCTAAAAAGCATCTTGACATATGGATGATCAACATCTCACTTTAGTACACATGGAGAAGTCACTGGTAAAATAAAATCTAGATCTATTAATACTGACTCTGTTGTATTGCCTTGCTTTCCTCAACACAAGCTTTTATGTCATTAGGATTTCTTGTGTTTTTGACCTGCTGCTGTTTCCATAAGTTTTTTTTTTTTTCATATTCCAGGGTGCCTATTAAAACTTCACCTTCACCTTGTAAAACGCAAGGTGTGTAAACTTTATGTTCCTTATTGTGTGTGTTCATTTTAAGGAATTATCATGCAAGGGTTAGTTTGAAGCCATGACAGTAATGAAACACCAGTGTGATGCATTACTAGGGCACAGCTACAGTCCTGGAGCGATATTTCTTCATCTTTTATCTTTGTTTTTCTGATTATTTTGTCCTTTTGATTGGCAAACATTCAAACAAAATGACTGCAGAGGATATTTATCTGAAATATTAAATCCGAAATTCGAAAGGAAGGAAAAATGGTCACAAATCAAAGACAAAACTAAATCCAATCAAAGCTACAGTTTTGACAATAATCATTCATATCCTTAACAAGCATTAATGATGACAGCTACAGCACATTCATTAGTGTATAATTTAATATTCCATCCCAAATCAGAGCTTCATCTCCTTGATGAGGAGACTGTTTTGTTTTTGGCACTGAGATCTGAGAGGAGTCTGAGATATTCTCTGTGTAGCATGAATGTGAGTGAATCTCATGAAACCTCTCAAGAACATGTCCAGGTCACATTTCTTGAAGAAAACAAAGCTTATTTTCAGCTTAATTTGTATGCAACATATAATTTTGATTTCCTTTTGTTGATTCAGGGGTGATTCTGTGAGATGCACCTTTATTTATTTACATATTTACTGATTTACTCGCCAAAGCTCAATTCATTTTGTGGGGGAAATAAAATCAACAAAATGAGCGGATTACAAACAAGAGGCAGGCCTATGTTCCAAACATAGGGTTGGTGGTGCTGAATGCAATAAGTGAAGTAAAGCCTGTCTGGCACAAAACTGCAGTGACTTGCACTTGACGCAGGCTGCTGCGTGAAGCCCTCATTTCTTTTCAAGAAAGTGGAGTTCAACAGTGCATGAAAACCAGGTTGAGCTGAAGAGGCAAAGGAGTAAGAAAGCAAAATGAGTGTGCTTTACAAGAGGCAGGGCTTTTCAAAAGTGCAGTTAGGAGCTTAACACCTGGCCAGCGGACATGGAAGTCAAACTCCTTCCGCAGGCAAAACAGTCAAACAACATCAGGAATATGTTAGGGTAATATGGAAAGCAACAAGACAACAAAAGTATAGTTAGCAGATGAAATATCAGTTCTAGCTTACCTCCAACAGTGTGAGGAGAAGTGTGATATTATCTGGTTCCTGGATGAACTTGTCAGTGAACTGAACTCCCAAATCCTCCTCCTGCTTTTGCTGATTCTCCTCTGAAAGAGAAAATGAGATGCAGAGAAACTTATTCTTTGGCATGTTTACTTTTCTTTGATTACTTTAACACAAAATAAAAAGGGGAGGAAAAAAAAAAAAAAAAAAAAAAAAACACAGACAGAATAAGACTGCTTGTAGATGCCTGTGCAGATGAAACTAAAGCTGAAACACTGGGAGGACAACAGCTAAATGTGTTAAATATAATTATTTTAAAAAGATAAATAAATAAGATGAATTTTCAAACAATAATGGACATGAATCAACTTTGACATTATTAACAGTGCTTTAATTAAATTTGACAGAGTAAAGATGTCAAAATAAAGAAACAGCTTCTGACTGTGCAAGTTTGATCCCAAAGAATCTTCAGAAGCATTAGGAGGTGGACTTTACACATTTACGGACACATTCAGACCCTTGACACAGTTTCTACTCGAGCGTTCATGTCATTTGTTGGGTTGAACAACATTTTACAATGTGCAGTGTTCGGGTTTCTATGTGCAAGTTTGTATATGGTTCAACTATATCATATACATAAGTTGAAAAGTTCATGACATTATAGGTAATAGGTCTCAAATTTCTTTAAAGCAACAGTGCATAGATGGTTTTCTAAAGAATTAGAGAATGAAAAAGTTATTTACATGTAAACTGCAATAATATGCTGTAACATCATTTTTGTTTGGCGGTTGTAACTGTATAATTTGCAAAACTGCCAAAGAAAAGGAAAAAAACAGCATCAACAACAACAATAATAATATGATATTTTATTAGTCTATTATATTTTACATATTACGATACAAATTATATATGAAGTACATTTAGTAGTAGTAGTAGTAATAGTATTGTTGTTGTTGTTGTTGTTGTTGATGTATTTAGACTTGATGAAATGTGATAAATTATGATGCTGGGTTTAGGGAAGTCATACATAAATACTGTGTTGAGCAGCTGAAGAGATCTAAGGTCTTCAAAGAGAATGGCCTTTATTTTATTCACAAGTTGTAGCCAAATGTATTGCCAAGCTCTGGCAACAGAGTCAGAGAGGTCAAGAGAGCAGTTTGATTTTTATCGATTTTGATTTTATTGTTAAATCAGTTTTGAATAATTAAAAAAAAACTTTTCATACTTAAGTACAATAAACATCACATACTTTAAAACTTTTACTCAAGTAATATTCTTAACGGTGACTTTAACTTCTACCAAAATCATTTTCTGGTGAGATATCTGTACTTTTACTCAAGTGTGGCTTTCAAATACTTCATACATCACTGCAGATACTGTATTATCCAAATTGTTTTGATTTTTAAAATACAAATTTGCTTATTTTCCATCAAGCTGTTTTTTTTTTTTGGCAAATAAAAATTACATTTGATTTTCACATTGGTCCGAACAAAATTGGCAGACAGGGCATGTAAAATGTATATCCACTCTCAGAAAGTAGGTGGCACTTATGGAACAGCAAAAAACAGAGCTGTTTTCCCAGTGATCGCTATGAGGGACGGAATGAGGGTCTGAAGCTATGAGGGTCTGAAGTTCAAGCACAGTAAATTGGCCAGCTGCACAGTGTCTCATTCCCTATACCTCTGAGAACCGAGGTTACATGCATAACCAGAGACATTCCCTTTCGATTGCAGTTCACTCTAAATTGTGTCAGCAGCTAACACTATGGCGAACAGTGACCACAACACCGCATTACTGGTGTAAGATCTGAACTAGCCTCTGTGGGCAGCATATACCAAAAAATACACATATAATATGGTACTATAGAACAGTACGAACCAGGGAGGTTGCACAAGCACTTTACAACTGGCGTTGGGAAGATGAGATTAGAATGGCCAGTGCTGATTAGGCATGGGTCGATTACCGGTTTCAAGGTATACCGCGATTTGAAAATTTCACGGTTTCAAACCACTAATATTTTCCATTATACCGTTCCTGTGGTATGTGCTGTTTTTCATGTCTCCTCAAAGACTGAAAGCGTAGGAATCCCTCAGGTTGAGTGCAGTGTAGAGTAACACGACCCTCTTCGTCCTGTTGGTGCGAGCGAGCGGTCAGTCACGTGTGTGTAGGATGGCCAAACTTAAAGGGTTAGTTCACTCAAAAATGAAAATTTGGCTGTTTTACTCACCCCCGAGGCATCCTAGGTGTATATGACTTTCTTCTTTCAGACGAATCCAGTCGGAGTTATATAAAAAATTGTCCTGACTATTCCAAGCTCTATCACTGCAGTGTGTTGCAGTGCTTCAGTCCAAAATAAGTTAAATAAAAAGTGTCCATCCATAAAAAAAAGTGTCTCACACGGCTCCAGGGGGTGAACAAAGTCCTCCTGTAGCGAATCCATGCGTTTTTGTAAGAAAAATAACCATATTTAAAACGTAATAATTAGGGATGCACCGATACCACTTTTTCCAGTACTCGCCCGATACCGATACTTTTATTTTTGGTACTTGCTGATACCGACATTTTTATTGCATTTGTAAATTTTTTAAATATTGGGTACAGAAACCAAAAGAGTATGTAT